TGGGCGGTCATAGGCCGCGCAGTGGAGGGCATTGGCGCGAGTGTTGCGCAGCATAGGCGTGGTAGTAGCCGCATCTTCACAAGTGTTGCATCCAGAACATGGCGTGCCACCATTGTTAGGGCACGAAGCGGTAAAACATTACCCGTGCCTTAAACGACAGCCGTGGCAATCCTCCTCCTCCTCCTCCTCCTTCCGTAGCCATTTTGGCTCAAGATGATGATGCCTGCGGCGTCCTTCATGGATACCGCTAGTCCGCGGCCAGTCCCCAAGCTTTTGCCGCCACAACCACGGGCTTGCGGCAGCCCACAGCTCATCCTGCTTCTCACTTTGGCACTGCAGGCTGCCATCCCTATCAGCTCGTCCGAGCCCTTCATATCGCCCGTCGAGCCCAGCTCCGAGCACTTCATATCGCCCGTCGAGCCCAGCTCCGAGCACTTCATATCGCCCGCCGAGCCCAGCCCCGAGCACTTCATATCCGACGCCGAGCCGAGCTCCGTGTCCCACGCCTCCGCCGTCGAGCCCAGCTCCGAGCACTTCATTCCCGTCGTGAACGTTGCCCGAGCCGAGATCAGCTTCCAGCATCTACGCCAACCACGTATTGGCACCGCTGCCGCCCTGGACATTGGACAGCAGTACAGCAGCCGCTCACTGGACTTGCCCGACCGACCGCAACAATGTCGTCAAGCAGCGAAGAGAGATCTACGTCCCGCAGCGCACCGTCGCGCAGAAGGAAGGAACGCCGCCGTGGACGCCAAGACAAAGATCGAGATGACAAATGTTCCCGTGCCTCAGCCGCCAGGGCTACACTCGACGCCATGGGAGAAGCTGGTGTCGCATCGCAACTCGTACGTGCTTCAGGGAGAGCCTCGGCGCCTCCTTCACGTCCTGGTCGCTCGTCAGCGCGCCCGTCTACTCCGCCAACGTATGCTATGGATGCCGACGACCTTCTACACCGCGGTGATGTCGCTCGCCACGCAGCGGCTGCCCCCGTTCAAGCACGCGATGGACAAGGGAATGCTCCGCTTTCCCAACTTCTTGCAGTCGAGGCAGCTCCAGCAGTTGGAGGGCACCTACATGCAGACCCACTGGCAGGAGCTCGTGACCCTTGGCGTGGCCAACAAACCGCTGGGCGAACGTCCGCCGTCGGAGCCGCCGCCGACATTCATGGCGGGGACATTCCAGCCTCAATCGAAGCCGCTGGAGGCACTGCCACGCCTGGGTCGTTCCCAAGCACCCCAGGCCTACCTCCTGATGTCGAAGCTGCTCTTCAACAAGTCATGCAGACTCAAGTCGAACACGCCGCGGCCACCTTCCAAGCCCAGGCCAACGCTCTACTGAATGAATCACGTGAAAGCTGTCGTCAAATTCTCGCACCACAAGTCATTGCTACCGAACGCCGAGTGGATACCCTACATGATGCCGTCGCACGCACTCGCCGTGAACAAGACCGACAAGTTGACGAGCAGAAGAAGATGTGGCAGCAGATCGACCAGATGCGTGACACGCTCGCTCTCGCTGAAGCTCAGGCGCCCATCACGGACCTCGCCAAGCTCGCTGACTGGGACCGCGCCCCCGACCCGACCATCTTCTCCATCGGCTGCCAGCGCCTCATCGCGCCCGACATACTGCTCAACGACCTGCAGGAGTGGATCGCCTCCGCCAACGTGGACCGCAACGCCGTGGAGTTGCTGGGCGACGAGCCGTCCAGACGCTTCCTTCTTCAAGTCAAAGGAGATCGTGCAGCCGCAATCCCGCGAGCTCTCGCTCTTTCACGCGCCCTACGAGACCCTGCTGGCAGGTGGAAGCGCTCTGTGTCCACCGATACGACAGGTGCCCGAGTGGATATCTATCTCAATCCCGACAGGTCTCCCAAGCAGATCCGCACCGGGATCCAGCGCAAGAAGCTCCTGCAACTGCTCCAGCATCGCTACCCTGATAAGCCATGGAGAGCCATTCGCACCAAGGGCGAGATCCATTGCAACGCCATGCCTGTTGTCCGCCTTGACGTCAAGGCCCAGGCCGACCACGCCATCCTCGAGTGGAACGAGCACGCGTTCGAAGGCCACCACTTCAACGAAGTGGATCGCGGAGGCGTCCCCGCCGCGTTCCAGGCGCTCTTCGCGGACACTGCGTCAGCAACGTGGCGGGTTTAGCCATCCCTGGTCGCCCTGGCGACCGAACGAGGGCCCCGCCCCCAGCACCTTCATCATTTGGAATGCCAGAGCCCTCATGTGTCACAAGCGCCAGCGCCGCCGCCGCAAACAGGCTGCCCTGTTGAAGTACATGCGCCGCCACTGCGCCATCCTCATCCAGGAGGTTCATGGCTCTGAGGCCCTGCTCCGCACGTGGGTGGACACGCAGCCGCACCCGTGCAAGCTCTTTTTCTCCGAGTTCGTCGGCGGCGATGACGTCGAGGCCCGTCCTGGCACTGGTGGCGCTGCTACGTTGGTGCCCTGGCTCACACTCATGCAGCTCGAGCAGCTTGCTCCACGCCAACTTC